CCTGCTTCTCCCTCTCCCACTCCAACTGCTTGTATTCCCTCTCTCACTGTGTCTCTCTCTGTCAAAATAAATAAATAAAATCTTTAAAAAAAAATTGCTATATATATATATAAATTTAATCTCTACAGTAACACTGTGAGGTTGGTACTGCTAATGTGCTTGAGATCACAGAGCTCATAAGAACAGGAGCCTGGAAACTGAACCAGGCAGTGAGACTCTGGGTGATCCTTGAACTACCCTATACCATCCCAGGTTAAGCAGAGAGCATTTTAAAAGTATCTTTGGATCTTCCCAAGATGACTCTAGTATTTCCTTACTCTTCTCCTTGCTTCTGGTCTTTACTTTGTTGGGATCCTTCTGGTATTGTTGCAGGTGACATTTCTTCAAACTTATTTGGGTTCTCATTATTGCTTCTGAGTCTTTTTATTTTAAAAATTTCTGTCGTGAGAGTTTCATTTGGTTTATTCACCCATCGATGGACCCTTGGGTTGTTTCCAGTTTTTGGCAATTATGACTCAAGCCACTATAAGCAATTCTCATATAGGTGTATGTGTGGACATCTGTTTTCATTTCTTTTAAGTAAATAAAGATGTAGGAGTGGGATTTCTAGGCCATATGATAAGTGAATGTAACAAACTACCAAACTTTTCCTAGTGACTGTCCCATTTTGAGTACCCACCAGCAACGTACGGGAGTTCCCTTTGCTCTGCCTCTTTGCCCATACTCCTCAGTTTTTTAAAAGCTAGCCATTCTCGTATATGGAGCGTGGTTTCTCTTTTGTGGTTTTGTGTTTCCTTAATTGCTGTTGATGTTGAGCATCTTTTTATGTATTTTTTTTTTTTTGCCAGTCGTACCTTTTCTTCCATGAAGTATTCTGTTGTTTTGCCTGTTTTTTTTTTAACCAGGTTTTTCTTTTCAAATGAGAGATCTTTATATATTCTGGTATAAATTCCTATTAGAAATGTGTTTTGCAAATGTGGTGTTTTATTGTTTTTGTTTGTTTACCAAATCTGTAACTTGTCTTTTTATTTCCTTGGCAGTGTCTTTTGAGGAGCAAATGGTTAGCTTTAAAGAATTCCCAGTTTATCAAAGTTTTCTATTCATAGTCCTTGTGTTCTGTCTAACCCGAAGCCTCAAAGATCTTCTGTTTTCTTTTTTTTCTCCTATATTTTCTTCTTTCTTTATTTTTTAAAAAATCGAGGCATAATTAATGTGCTATGAAACCCACTCATTTAATGTGTGCAGTTCAGTGGTTTTAGCTATTCACAGTTGTGAAACCATCAGCACAATCCATTTTAGAATGTTTTCATCCCACCAAAAAGAAATTCTGTACCTACTAGCAGAAGACTCCCATTTCCCTCTTTCCCTAGCCTCCAGGAACCACTAATCTACTTTCTGTTTCTACAGTTCCTGTATTTTGGACATATCATGTAAATGGAATCGTACAATATGTGGTCTTTTTGTCTGACTTTTTCACTTAGTATATAATATTTTCAGAGTTTATATATGCTGTAGCATGTGTCAGGACTTCATTCTTTTTTATGGCCGAATAATATTCCATTATGTGAATCTACCATATATAGGTTATCCTTTAGTTCCTTGATGATCTCCTGTGTTTAAATATAGAAGTTTTATAGTTTACGGTTTACATTCTAGCCTAGGATCTACGTGAGTTAACTTTTCATGTGATATGAGTTATATTTATTGAATATACTACCCTTTCTTTCCCGAGGCACCTCTGTAGAAAGTCATTTGTCCATATGTATGGGTCTACTACTTCTTTTTTTTTTTTTTAAGATTTTATTTATTTATTTGAGAGAGTGAGAGCTAGAGAGAGTGAGACAGCGTGAGCACACACACAGGGGAGGCAGAGGGTGAAGCAGACTCCCCACTGAGCAGAGAGCCCGAGGCGGGGCTCAATCCCAGAACCCCGGGATCAAGACCTGAGCCGAAGGCAGATGCTTAATCGACTGAGCCATCCAGGCACCCCTGCATGGGTCTACTTCTGCACTCAGTTGTATTCTCTTGATCTATGTGTGTATACTTTAACCAAAACCACATAGCTTAATTACTGTTGCTTTATAAAAAGTCTTGAAATCAAGTAATACGAGTCCTCCAATTTTGTTGTTTTAAAATTTGGCTATCTCGGGCCTTTGGCTTTTCCATGTAAATTTTAAATCAGCTTTGAGAAACCACAAAAAAGCCTGCTGTAATTTTGGTTAGAAATGTATTGAATCTGTAGATCAATTTGGGAGAGAATTGGGATCTCACTAATAATGAGCCTTTCAACTCATTTATATATATCTTTCCATTAATTTAGGTCAGTGTTTTGTTTTATTACAAATCCTATGCATATTTTGTTAGATTTAATGAGTTTTGCATGTCCCTAAGTATTTTGATGCTACTGCATCAAATTGTTTTTTCATTTGTCTTAATTTGCAACTGCTCATTGCTAGTATGTAAACATATAATGGATACTTTTATATGACTTTACTAAACCCACTTACATATTCTTGTTGCTTTTTTGTAGCTTTTTTTTTTTTCTTGCCTGATTACACTGTATAGGGCCCTCCAGGATAGTGTTGAACTGGAGTGGTAAGAGCAGACATTTCTTATCTTATACACAGTCTTGCAGGAAAACATTCAGTGTCTTAACATTAAATATGATGTTATATTTAGCTTATTTTAGTATAAAGATTTTGTAGATATCCTTTATCGGGTTCACAAAGTTTCCTCTTATTCCTAAATTGCTGAGAGTTTTTATCACAAACGGATGTTGAATTTTGTCAAATGTTTTGTTCTATGTCTATTCAGAAGATTGTATACTTTTCAGACTTGTTGATATGATGAATTATTTTGATTTGTCTA